TGCCCAAGTCCCAATAAGGATCTGGGCTGATTCACTGAAGGCATAATTGACACGTGGCTTAAACATAAAAGCATAGTTATTGCATGAATCACATTGATTTCTGCGAGCGCCACAAAGGGTAATAGTCTGGGCATGATTTTTTGTACCCAAAGCGCTGGGGAGAAATGCCTTTTCTTTGCCAATGTAGCCAGTAGCTGCAAAGGGCTGGGGGTGTGGTGGCCGTTGGAAATCTCAACTTCAGCACTTTAAGTAGCTATCCCAATTCATTTTTCCCCCACCATTTTCTAATGGTTCAAATTCACACCAGCTGTTTTTCATATCTAGCGAACTAACCCACCAGGAGGGAAGGAGGGTTTGTGACAAGTTTCTGAGTTAGGTCTCAAGAGACTGGGCTCCAGTCCTGCCTTTTGTCAAGAGGACTCAACCCCCCATCTCTCACCTCCCAGGACCATGCCTGTCCAGCCAGGCTAGCAGAGGTTTACTGTGGTGGAGCCTGAGAAAGCCCAAGGCTGTGCCTTGGTAATTCATTTTCCCTTGGAGGAGAGGTGCGGAGAGGAGACCTGAGTGTCAGTCCCTGCCCCAATAAGCAAGTATTTTATCCAGTAATTTTTACTGTAAAATACACGGAGGCCTGAGGCCTCCCCTCTCTCTGGGAGAGGTCTCTCTACTAGGCTAGAAAGTCAGGCTTGCTCTTGTGAGTCCTTTCTCTCCCCCAGTGAATTTTGAGCCCTGCCACGTAAAGTGGAGCTGCTGCAGGAGAGAAGGAGGGAGCCCCTGGGGGTACAGAGAGCTAATAGCTTGGTGGTTCAGGCTCTCCCATGGCTCTGAGGGGTTTGAATCTTCTCGGTTTCCATGCCTGGGTAAAGGCTCTGGGCACTGAGCCACCGAATAAAATGTTGGGTGCTGCTCCACCTCCTCTGGCCACTTTTTGAATCGAAGGACTGAGGTCTGCTCAGGTTTTGAAAGGGAGGGTTTAGGCACCTGCTTCCAGAAAGGAGTGCAGGGCTTTAGGCGCCGTCCTGCTGCCTAGAGCAAGGCACCTCTGGCCATGACTGTGCTCAGCGGCTGCTGCGGTTCCAGGGACAACTGGGTGCTGAGGTGGCCATGACCCTGGTGAAGAGGCTCCTCTGCTGCAGAAGTTTTTCTGCCACCATAACTGTGCCTGTTCCTCTAAACAGTGGAGGTGCTGACAGAGTAATGCCCACACCTTGTACCTTAATATTTCCACATCCCTGCCTGACATAGCTCTGCTGGCACTGCTAGGGCTTTGCAACTCAGGCAAGGCTTTGGTCCTGCAGAAGTGTGTCTTTTGGGACATACTCCTGGCCTCGGTATTTCTTCTTGTGTGGCACAGGTGGCTCCTGACTACTCTGGTTTCCTCCCTTAGGTGTCTAACGCTCCCCATGGACCGAGTGATGTTGCTGAAAGCTGTGGTCCCTGCTAGAGTGGCGGGTGCTCGAGCCCTTTGGGGGCTAGTCCATGGGGAACTGAAGTGAAGAGAGCCTGCCTCTCAGCAGGGTGACTAAGGGGAGCACCTTGGGCAGAAGCCCCAGATGCCGACTTGGGTGGGGGCACAAAAATAGCAGCTGTGCTTCTGGCTGGGTAGAACCGCTGCCCCCTGGCTCACGACTCTCTGGTTATGCCTCTGCTGTCTGTAAAGTGGACGTGATAGCCCTGCCCTCCATCACAAGGTGAGGTGGAGACCGAGGTGTTCAGGCCTGCTGTGATGGAGGCCACGTAAGCGCCTCCCACATTTCTGTCACTGGGGCCAGTGCCCTTGTGTTGTCTGGACAATGACAGTCCTGACTTCAGAACCGCTCCTTAGCTGGAGTCTTCCCTCAATGTTGGTTTTATAGAGAAATGTGGAGGCTTCAGCTGCTGAGCCCTTGCTCGTGTGCTGTTTGGACTCTGCTAAGCTGCAGAAAGCTTGGTGTCCAACAATTTGTTGTGTCCTCCCTGGGGTTCAGGATATCAGGCATCATAAGATCCTGCAACCAAACGAGCCTTTGGCAATGTGTTTAATTAAAATACAGCTAAGACACCCCTTCCCTGCCTCCCACGATCTGATTCAGCACACATGGTATTTATTGCTGCTGCCCTGAAACTTTTAAACTCATTCTACTGTTGACCAGTGATTTGACCTGCTTGTAACACGAGAAAATACGGTAGCCGCGCTGCTTCCACAGACCCTCACCTCTTGACTTGGACTTCAGCCTGGGTTCACTTTGCAAATAGATATGATGTTGGGAACAGATTACAAGAGCATGATTTGACTTCTGCTACAATTTACCTAGAACTAGGGGTGGGCATTTTCAGTCAGGTCAGATTTATTTAGATCCTCATGATAAAGCTTGAGGTACCTTGCAGAGGTTTCAGTCCAAGAGCTTCTGAGTGTTTTACAAGCGAGAGAAATGTCCGTATCTTACATGCTTCCAATAGTTATGTTAGTGGACCCGGTCACAACATGACCGTTGCTTTTGGTTGCATGACTGACCCGGGTATTATTGATCGTATTGGGGGATTATGTAATAAAGCCTCATGCTGCTACATATATAAATCACAAGGGGAGTTAAGGCCTGAAGCTGTCCTTGAGCTCCCAAAGCACCTCTCTGCCTTCTCACAGTGAATTCCTTTAGATACTCTCAAGCAGTGAAATGCTTATCCCCTCTGTACACCAGCCGTTAGCAGGGCAGTGTCCTCCCCTTGCACCGTGGGCTCTGTTTCAGTGAGACATTTCAGTTGGAGATTAACTCCGGGTCCGATTGGCTTCTAGCATGGTCTTAAGCAGTTAAAGCCATTCTGCGTGGGCGAAGTGTCACAACGCAGCCTTTAACCAGGATTCCTCATTGTTGAATGTTTAGACCAGTTTCCAACAGGTGTTTGGAGAGGTTTTTGGGCCTCTGCCTTGCCAGCAACAGGCGTCGTTTTGACACCCCAGCCCAGGGGTGATGTGTTGGAGCCGATGGAATCCCTCACACTTGCGTGGTTGGCAGGTCACCTCCTGGACACCTGGTACCCCTGGCTAGTCAGGAGAGCAGTGGCATAAATCTGGATGGCAGGCTCTCAGAGCCTGCCTCTGACCTAACGTTGGGGCACAGAGGGCATCGGGAAAGGCTAAGCAGAAGAGCCGAGGGGACATGAGCCTCCAGAAAAGGTGTGGCTTGGGGAAAGAGGTGCAACCTAATGGCAGGGCCTGGGATGGTTTTATTTCCCTCTTTTGCCTGAAAGAGGCAAAACTCCCTATGGGGAACCTTCTTCAATACCACACTGACAGCTTGGCCAGCAACAAACAGAGCTCTCAGTGGGGTTTAACGCAGGCAGACTAAAGCCCCATGATGTTATGAGTAATAACACTCCAACCCCTGGGCAATGAGAGACCCCTGCCAGAGCTCCCCTCCATGGGGCCTCCTCTTAATCTTCCCACCATTAGAGCCCCACCTGTAGTTTATCAATGACTTGGTTTTTGCCTTCTCCACATAGTTTACCCAGGCTATTTGCACAGCCTCTTACATTCTCCGCTCAGCAATCCAGCGACATACCAGAACCCTACAGCGTGTGTAAATATGCATTTAGGGAGTTATAAAACGTATCAAGTATGCCGGGGAAAGAAATCTCGATGACAAGTGGCTACTGTGCACGTACAAGGGCTACCTTTGAAACCCAGACCTCCACCCTGCTTGGATTTCTCTGTTCCCTGCCCACCCAAAGCAGCCAACTGTTCTTTGCCGCTGCTGGAGGCACCAACGCAAAGCAGGGACGCACTGTGATGGATGTTGTTCGGATCATGATTAGAGGCCATTGCTGCCATGAAGATTTAGACAAGGGGGAGTGGATCGGGGTATGTCTACACGGCAGTCACAGGTGTCAACGTAATATGTAGACACTATCAGGATACTACTAACGTGGTACAATAGCCCCAAGGGTGCGGCAGCACAGACCCCCATGTAGCCATCCCAGTAAAACCCATGGTGCCAGGCAAACTTGGGCAGCTCAAATAAAACCCATGCCGTTGTGGCTTTGCTGCCATTGGTACATGAATGAGCTAGATTAAAGTCACATACTGCACTCAGATCTCTTGAATTGTGTTAGGCACAAGCCCAGCAAAAGACTTGTCCAAGGTCAGACAGCAGGTTGGGATTATAGCCTACTTTTCCTCACTTCCAGGCCGGCGGTACCCAACTTGTGGCAAAAACCTTCCAGCGGCCTGTCAGAACATGAGGCTGTGGAGCAGAGGGGTGAGGAAGCAGCTGATTGAGAGGAAGGAGAAGAGAATAAGCTGCGCTGCCAAGTGAAACAAGGAGCACCAAGATTCAGCCTGGAGGGAGGGAGTGGGAGAGAGAGAGAGATGCAAACCCATGTACTCTTCAGTTGATGGGGTGGGGGTGGAGGTACAGGGGATGCTGATCTGCCTAGGAGTCTACTGGCAATGCTGGTGAGACCCAGGATGCTGCTGAGTAACCTGTCCTGCACCTCCTACCCTGCTAGGGTTTGGGCTGAAAGAAGTCTTTGTACCTACTTTGATCTGTGAGACGTTCTCCCAGGATGAGCTAGAACTCAGGTAGCAGAGGAGAAGGAGCTTAGTGTGTGTTGGATACATTAGGAAAGCAAGCAGGGTTTCCTTCCTGGTAGAGGCCATTGGGACAGTGGCATCCTTTGTGACATGTAGCAGCCTGAACACTACATCTTGAGGGGGCCACATCAGCAGGGCATTGGGAAGGGGCGGCGGGTGGGTAGGAGGCATGCCTCTTTTCTGGCTGGCAGATGCAGGTCCGCACTACCCAGAGAGCGTCCCTCCCGGGTCTTTCCTGAGGCAGGCGTAGTGCGCTGGTGAATGGAGACGCAAAACTCTAGAAGTCTTGGTTCAGAGATGATACCTTTTATTAGACCAACTAAGAAATCACAAAAAAACCCCAAAAACCCTTTTTTTCTGCAAAGTATCATCTCTGAACCAAGCCTTCTAGAGCTTTGCGTTTCTTTTTGTCTTGGACCAACACGGCTTTCAAATACATCTGGTGAACGGAGCGCATCCTGGGATCTGCGGGGCAGCTACATGGAAACCCAGCCCCAACGCAGCACCATCTTCTCTCTCCCAGAAAGCCGAGGGCAGGGGTCAGGCGGTGAGCTCCGTTCTCCATCTGTCCCCAAGCTCCTCTGCGAATGTCTTGTAAACAACGTGCTCCTTGTCTCAGCTACAAGCAAGTATTTTAATACGGGCACCTGATGATATATCTCCCCCTCCCCCAGGCCACCCCCATCTCGAGCAGAGTCTGCCCTGGGAGCTGCTGTGAAGCGAACCGTCTGTTTGCTGATGAATGGGAGCCTTTTTCCCCTTCCCAGGGGGCCCACGCAGCATGTTGGAGGCAGAGCCTCTGTAAACGTATCTCTCCTGGCCCTGAAAGTGCAAGCATCCAGGTGGCCTCAGGAAGGCTCCTTCTCATCTGCCAGGCTGGGCTCTCTCCTGCTTCCCCTCCCTCCATAACACAAAGGAGTGGAGAGCCCAGTACCGCCAGTTCTCCCTGACTGCATGGAAGGCTTTCAGGATTGGGCCTGTTTTTCCTGTCAGGGTCTTTTTTAATCAAAGCAGTTGCTTAGAGCAGTCTGAGCCTTGCCGGTGCTTGACACCAATCCACTTTGAGTCGGGTGGAGGGTAACCCTGATCCACTGGCGTCTCGGCACCCACAGAAAGGTGGAGGCAGAGTCACTAGGAAAGTCACGTCCCCCTTTGCGCCCCACATCTAAGGTCTGCGTTTCACTCCTGGGGGCTGCTGAACATGAAGACCGCGCAGGATGCATGCGGTGAATCTCTGGAGACGGCAGAGCAGCAGCCTGTGTTCAGACTCGGGGGGCCATTGAGGCGCAGATTTCAGCTACCTTTAAAATGAGCCTGCAAGGTTTTATGACCAGCACTAGCGTTTGTAGGTAAGCAAGCTGCGCCTGTAACACGGGCAGTTAACCAGTAGGTTTCAAGGTGTAAGACTCTCCAAAGCACTGGAGCGTTTGCTTAGTTGTCCGGTGTATTTTTTAACCTCCTCGTTGCAGCTTGAGAAATTGTCCATTGCATAATAATGGGGACCATTGGATCAGTGTGGTGATCCGGCAGGGAAATCCTAGGTCCCTCCAGCTCTCCAGAGAAACTTGTGGAAGAAGAAGGCTAGAATGGTTCAGGCTGGAGCGTGCCAGAACTGAGGCCTAGTTTCAGGCTATTGGTGATTCAGGAACCAGACATGGATTTCAGTTTTGGGTCCGAGCGGTGTCGATGTTTCGGCGTGAGCCGATCTGGAGACTTGGTTCAGGCCCTTTTCTGGATTTGTGTTTTTTCTCCATAGGCGTGTGACTCAGTTTGCACATTGACAATGGAGCAAACAAAATGACCCTGTTGCTCAGGAGCTGGGGGACAAAAGGATGGTGTCACAGTTTGCCTTTGGGATTTTCCTTACCGGGACATGGCAGCCTGCTGCCATGTGGTCGACTGATGGGGTAACTCCTTATACCAAGGGGAACAGAAGAAAGTGAAGCAATGAAACACTAAAGCTACCCTCTCATCTTGGTGAGGCAGAAAGGATGCTGAGGAGGCAGGAGTGTTTGGCCTCTGGCTCGAGGCATGAGGGAGCTGGCTTGGGCAGGCAGACTGCTTCATTGCGGTGCTCCTCTCTCTGGAGCACAGGCCACGTGGGGAGACTGGGATCTGTGCTCATTGTTGACTGTGGACATGGATGCAGTCCTGCTGCTTGAGCTCCGGGGTGATGGTATTTTTACCCATGCAGCAGTGATGCAGGTGCTCTTTGTGCCTCTTTGTGTTGCTTGCTCCAAATCTTTGTGGAGAGGGACTGAAAAGAGGCTGGCTGTGCAGCTGATTCTTCTCTTAGTTTCATCCATTCACTGTAACAGTGATACTCAACCAGGGTGTTGCAGTACTTTCAGGTGCCATGAGATTATTTTAAAGGTGTTGCACAGTATTAGCACTGGTAGTTGTGCAAGCACCTACACATGATCCACAAGGTAAACCTAGATATTTTAAATAGAAATCCAGAGTGCTAAAAACGCTGAGCCCTGCTGTGGTCTTTCTGAGTTCTTTGCAACAGAAGAATTGCTGTATTTTTTTTTTCTGTAGTAAAAAAATGTGTGAAAGCTAAGAGCTGGCATTTTCCAAAAGGTGCCTTGAATCTAAAAGGGTTGAGAAATAGCGCACTTTAAGAAGGAAAGGAGCGTGATGACTCCCATTCTTCTGGTTTCCCTTAGGACAGTGTTTCTCAACCAGTGGGATGCGAAGGTTGTGTAGATGGGACTTTAACTCCTTGCCCGATTGAAAAAATCAGTTGTTTGCACTTCAGATAGATGGATCAACAGATATCTCAGACAGTGCAATTTTGTGGGGTTTTGTTTTTATCATGGTGGGACCAGGGTTTTTGAGAACCGCTGCCATAGGAAGTTATAGTGTATGGGGGAAGGAAGCTAAAAGCACTTCTGCCCACCCTAAATAACAGGCTAGAGTCAGCACAAGAAGAGAGGCTTTGGGGGCTGGGCTGTTTCTCAGTCCCCGCGAGGCTGCCTGGCCGTGTCAGAGGTAATGTTTAAGCAGTGACATTCTTTGGCTGAATGATAAACCAGCCACAAATACGGCTGTCCAGATCCAGACCCCAGAGTCTTCTCACACCCCTGGAAGTTGAATGTGCCTTCTTCTTCCTGCCTTTTCCTCATCCTACTTTCAGAATGTAGTACTGGCGAAGGGTGCCAGACTCGCCCGTGTCAGACACAGCATGGGTGAAGGCACAGCGCCAGTCTGCCTAGTTTGGAGCTGCCCATAAAGGCAGAGGAACCTTCATGTGCTATCTGCACCTGTGGCTTTTCTCTTTAATGTGGCTTTTGTGCTTACAAAGGGCACCTGGTTGCCCTGCCCGTATGTCTGTATCTTATATGCTTCCAATAGTTATGTTAGTGGACCTGGTCACAACATGGCCGTTGCTTTTGGTTGCATGACTGATAGCCAGGGCACCTGGCAGCCCTGCCAGCTGAGGTCTCTGTTGTACCCATTGGCTTCCTGGGTGCCACCCAACACGTGCATGCCAGAGGTGGGGACCCTAGAGATGGATGTATGGTCTCTGTGGTTGATTCAGTCCTTGGCTTCTCTGCCAAGGGCATCTGTGCGCCCTGTGGAAAGTTTCTGCAATGAGGACACAGACTCACTTCCTCTGAAATAGCCCCCAGAGGCAAGAGATTAGTATTGGCTAAAGCATTCATATGGAACAGTGTTCTGTCAGAGAATACTGATTCCACAATGGGGATTAATTGATTTCATCCAAGCTTTTGCAGAAAATGATTACAATGTTTTATAGTGACTTCTTTTGTCTCATTTTATTCAGTGGAATGTGTTGATGAGCTCAGAAAAAAAATATTTTGGAAATATTTGTACCAAACATTCTGATATTTGGACTGTTTGGGCCAAATTCAGAAGAAAGCCAGGTTTTGACACCTGAGAACTTCCTGGGAGATGGAAATACCAAGTGCTGACCAACTTAACTAATGACTTTACCAACCTATGCTGGATTCAGAGACAATTTTGTCGTTAGGAATCTGCAGAATAATCAGTCTCCCCGCCTTTTCTGAAAAAAAACAATCAAACCTGACCTGGATTACCCCAAACTTCATTGGGGTCTCCTAACCTGGTACAAAGGCTGGAAAGGTGCTACGTGCTAAACAGTATAAAATAGAAAATGCCTTTGGGAACTTCTGGTGGCAAAGTGAAGAAGCTCTGAGAAATAGCAGGACAGACTGATTCCACTTGTAAATATTGGAAGGTCACTGTGGGTAAAACTCAGGTCCTAGCAACATGGTACTGAAGAAGGAGATCTGGTTTGATACTCACCAAAGCCACAGGGAGCTGATGCAAACTCTTTTCTCTTAAGCTTTCTGCATGGCATCTCATATTTTGCAAGTCTGTTGTCCCTCCTGCTAGGTTGAGGGACACGCCCTGCCCAATCCTGGTACCAGTTGGATGTAACCAAGCTCCTCTTTGGCTTAATACGTTTTTCATTTTATTGGGTTCCATGAATCCACTTGACACATTTCTTGTCTGTGCTGCTGGGGGTACCTCTAGACTGGTACGTTCCCCCTTGAGGTGGGCAGGACGCTCGGCTGACATGGGGCGTGATGGATTTGTGGGACCTTCCCCTCTGAGGTGCTCTCCGCTTGGTCTCTGTTCTAGCCTGCTGCAGCAGGAGCCCCTTCTCTTGGTACCCCCGGAGCTGTCTCAAGAAGCTGGGAGCCACGACCTGACTCGAGAAAGCATCATAAAGAGGTAAGTGGTGCAGGACGGGAGGAGGAATTTAGTTCAAAAGTCTTGTTTTTTTCCCCTGTTGATTATTCTAAGTGGGTGGGAGAGGGGAATATCATGAACTTCTATCTCCAGGGTTTTAAATAGGACCTGATTCTTACAGCATCATAACCCTCTGGGTTTTATTGTCTTCTACTGTGAACTGAGAGTTGGTGGGAAGTGATGGGCTGGCAACTGAGCACGTGAAAACCCACTCGCAATCCTCAGACCAGATACATCTCAGGAGATCATGGCACAAGTGTCTCCTACGTTGTCTTGTCCATGGACCTCCCCCCAGCTCTGTAACGGCCATCTGTAGATCAAGAGGAAAGTTCAGTCCCTTCAAACAATTAATTTCTGGTGGTACTGGAATGACAACAGCATCTCAGTTCATGAGGGACACCAAGCAAGGGTCAGATGTTGAAAACTTTCAGTTACCACCATCTCAGTCTGGATCTAAACTGGCTGTTTAGTGATTGATGCATTTCCTTTAGCTTATTGTCTTGGCTTTTTATGTTCCCAGTGACATAGACATCAGCACCCTATAGGGGCCCATTGTCTCCCAGGCTTAGCACTGCCAAGATTGCATTTCCTTAGGGTGACAATTTTTGAACAGAGCCCACACAAGACCTGAGCATCTCTTAACTCCCACAGCTTACAGTCTCAGGGAAATCTAGGTTGTGGGTGTATCTCTGAGGTATATTTACTCAGCAAGGGAAGGTGTGAATATAGCTCAGATCCACATTTGCAAGCTAGCTCTACATCTAGTTATCTCAGATACCAATAGTGACCACACAGAAGCCCAGACCTCAATATGCGCAAAACGACCAAGTCACCAAGGACCTAGACTGGGTTGTGCAGCCTGCTCCCGCAGTTGTGAGTGTGGCTTCACCGTTGCTGGCACCTGAGTTAGCTAGATTGGGTTTGCCTAAACGTGCTGCAGTCACACCTCAACTTCCAGCATAAATAGACAAGACCAAGAATGTACTATAGTCCCCATTTAGACAAGAGGAACTGGGACATATGGCAGTTAAGGGATTTGAACGTGATGACACAAGAAATCAGTGGCAGGGATAGGAACCAGACTCAGAATTCCTAACTCCTAGGTGTGTCCCAGGACCTGCCTTCCTTCCTTCCTTCCCACTGCTGGATGTTGAGAGTGCTCACCACCTCTGAAAATCGTCCCTCTTGACCTCAAGTCAGTGCCCTCCCTATTCCCACAATGGAGGTAACTAAATGTGGATAGGAATGTGTAAAGCTAACTAATAGAAGCTGTATCTAAAACCTACAGTAGAGGCTGGCAGATTTCTCAGTGCATGCCAGAGAAATCCACATAGGCAGTGTCCCACCCAAGAAGGATATTTATTTCTTCTCTTGTTCTTTTCCCCAGAGGGCAGCCGTCTAAATATTCTCCTGAGCTGGAAAAACCCAAACCCACCTGGGAACAGGTAATAAGCACATTCAAACTGCTTTTTCATTGTCTTTCTGAAGCTTTTCATTAGTTCAGGCTGCAATGAAAAGGAGGGGTGGAATTTTCTCTGAAAACAATGTCATCTGTTTGAAAGGTATTTGTGACATCTGAACACACACATGCACGTACGTGCACAAGCTCACACACACGTGACATTTCTACTGTGCAATCTATGTTTGCAGGAAGGACGGGCAAGTCTGAAAGGATTAGAGGTTTGTTTTGAAAAAACACCCAAGATTTCAGCCACTTATTAACAAGATTTCAGCCACTTATTAACAGGTCTACTTTCCAGACCTCTTGAGCCTGCCAAACTGAGCCTGAAGTTACATGGGAGGAGGTGCTGAAGAACACAAAGTGAAGGTTAATGGCTAGTGTTGGTGCCAGGCTAGATGATCTCTTGGGCCTTTTGGCCTTGAGCTGTTCTGTCTAACCGAGGTTGGCTGGTGTGGACAGAGGCTAAGCAATGGTAGAACCCCACTGCTGTAATGAAGCTAGACACCGGTGTCCTACCAGAGCTTGATTTGGTGCCTGGTGAAGGCAAGTGGAGTCTGACTACAGGGAGAAATGGATTTGATGTAAGCTCAGGTCCCTTAAATGTATTTACATGCCTGACACCCACCCAGCTCAATACCTTTTGAGGATCTGGGCTATGGTGCCTAGTCATGCAGTCCTTGCTTAGCATCAGGTTCCCCAGTTTGCACCAATTTACACTGGATTGCCATGCCATGTTGAACCTTGCTTGGTCACCAGGCAATGTAAACTGTGTGTTTGCATAGCTTTCCAATTGTCTTGCCTGGTCAGTGGAGATGGGGTCTCCCAAGAGCTCCCTTCCCCC